CCACACATATTTGACATTTGGAATTAATGCAATCAAATTTTGGCAATACTTCTAAATTTATCATTTTTCGCAATGTTTTGAAGTTGAGATGACCTAAGCGTGAATGCCATAAAGTGTTTAACTCAAGTAAGTAAGAAGAAATATTAACTTTATTGATAGGAACTGCTATTACATTTAGCTTAAAAAGGCCCTCATTCAGGTAACCTTTTCCTACATACATATCATTCTTACTTAGTACAACACTATTAGAAACAAAAATACATTTGAATCTATTCTTGACAAGAAGTGAGGTAGACACAAGATTCTTGCGAATTTCTGGAACATGGAGAACTTGGTTTAGAGTCACTATTTTTCCCGACGTCATCTTCAATGCAATCTTGCCAACTCCTTCAATTTTGGCTGTAGACGAATTTCCCATGAAAATTGTCTCGTCGGGTCCTGCGGGGGAATAAGAAGAAAATAACTTCTTGTTAGCACAAACATGGCGGGTGAATCTATCCACCATTCTTTAGGATTTCCTACCAAGTTGCATTCAGACAACATGGCACACAAGTCCTCCATTTCTTCAGCATTTTCAACCATGTTAGCTTGATTCTTCTTCTTCTTATCATTCTTTGGTGCACGACAATCCACGGCCTTATGCCCAGATTTTCCACAGTTGTGGCAATTACCCTTGAACTTTTTCTTGCTTGGGTAATTCTTTGGTCCAGAAGCCTTCTTTCTCTTCTTATTTTGTGGCGCCTCCTCAACAATGTTAGCCCTTATTATTGTCGAGTTTCCACGTGACTTCTTTTCAGCATTTTTGTTGTCTTCTTCTATCCTCAAACGAACAATCAAGTCTTCAAGTATCATCTCCTTCCGCTTGTGTTTTAGATAGTTCTTAAAGTCCTTCCACAACGGAGGTAACTTCTCAATGAAAGCTGCAACTTGAAAGGCCTCATTTATGATCATACCTTCAGCAAGGAGGTCATGCACAATGACTTGTAATTCTTGGACTTGAGTTATGACCGACCTAGAGTCAATCATCTTGAAATCCAAAAACCTTGCAGCCACGAACTTCTTAAGTCCGGCATCCTCAGTCTTGTACTTCTTCTCAGGCGCATTCCATAACGCTTTTGAAGTTTCCATGACACTAAAGACATTGTACAAGCTATCTTCCAAACAACTCAAAATGTAGTTTTTGCACAAGAAATCAGAATGTTTCCATGCTTTAGTTACAACAAATCGTTCATCATCCGGAGTGTCTTCAGCCAGGATCGGAGGATCCTCCTTGATGAATCGCTGCAAACTCAACGTAGTAAGATAGAATAGCATCTTCATTTGCCAGCGTTTGAAGTCGATACCGAAAAACTTTCCGGGTTTTTCTGCTGGTGCCATAGCATGAGCAGGAGTTGAACGGCTTGACGAGGCAGCAACACTCGTAACAGTAGCACCCGTTCCCGCAACATTTCCATTAGTTTGGTTTTCATTCGTCATTTTTCTGTAGAGTTGGAAACAAAACAGAACTTTGTTAAATCAGTGAAGTTTTGATATCTTCAAACTGAATACCAAACCAAACATACAACACGTAACAATGGTGAAGTTTTTATATACTTCAAACCCGTACGTTTATTATTCCGGTAAAAGTTTGCGAATTAGAATGCAGTATTTTCAGAAAGAAGGAAGTTCTGTAATGTTTTTGGTGTGTTAAAAACGAAGCCATGCCTCAGAATTTATAGGCAATTATTGGAAGATGTGTGATGTTTGTTCTGGAACAGGTGTCTGTTCAGAAGTTTACGCGTCCTGCCGCGGTCCTACCGCGGTTACGCCAGGACCGCTGCCAAACTAGCCTTCTGAATCTGCAGCAGTGTTCTGGCGCGGTCCTACCGCGGTTACGCCAGGACCGCGGCCAGACTATCCTTCTGAATCTTCAGCAGTGATCTAGCATTTAATTAATTATTAAATAATTAATTAAATAAATTTTGTCCAAAAATAATCTTATCGATCATTTGACTAATTCGAAGCCGAAGCCGAAGCCGAGCGAGCGACGACAACGGCGCGAGGGTTCATTCTCTTCAACTCCTTTTAAGAGCTTTAAGAAGTGATTCTATATATAAGCACACAAATGTAGTTGTCCCTCACCAATGAGGGACAAAGTGCAAGTCAAAAGCTCACTTTATTCAAATTTTCATTTCCTCCATTTTATTTCCCACCATTTCCAATTCACACTCTTAGACTTTAAAGCCCAATGCTTAAAATCTTTGAAGCCCAATGCCTTTAAAGTCCAACATAATATACTGGCGTATTTTCCGGGTTTTGAACAGTGTTTTCGCTCAGATTTATCTTTACATGAAAAGTGGCTAAATTTCGATTACTTTTGAAACTGTGCTATTTTTGAACGACCTGTTGTAAATATGGCTATTTTTAAATTTCTCCCGTCCATAACTGCTAGATAACGAGCAATAATCACAGTCGTTAAAAATAAAATGTTTTGGTTCCTCCTACGAAATTTAATAACGACATACTTCCTTTTCAGAATTGTTAAATTAAGTATTTCTGAAGTCCACTATTCAAAATCATGAGCAATATTGCTTTTTCTATCGACAGTTTATATAGTGAGGGTTGTTTAATTGTATAACTTTTCTTCTTCTGAATTTTATATGGGAAGGCATGTGGCTCCGCCATGATTTTGATTCATTGAGCTCGTGAATCTCAGTGACTATTGCTTTGATACAACCACCAAATAAGTAGTGCCATGGAGCCCCCTTATTACAATAGATTAAATAACACTGATAATATTAACAAGAATCTACAAATACAAAGGCTAACTTAAATTTCAAAACAAAATTGAGGTGAGTGTGGTGGAGAAAAAGAGGGAAAAAGCATTTTGAATGCAAGAACATGATTCCATGCTACGTGGTCAGGGGTGGATTCAGTTAGCGGGTTCATCTCAACCGAGTAATTTTGGTACAAAACGTAAATTTATATATAAAAATTTATTAAAATTGCTACAAATAGTGAATATGAACCCACAATCTTAAAAATATAGAGCTGTCAAATTTGGCCCAAGCCCAAACGACCCGCACAACATGCCCAAGGTTGGACTGGTTATTGACCCACCCATTTATTGAACTTAACTCATCTTGATCCAACCCATCTCAACTCATTTAAAGTTAGACTAATTATGAGCCCAAATTGATCCATTAGTAACTTTGTCAAGATATCTTTTTTTTTTTTGTGATATGTTATATATGACCATAACAAAAGAAAAAAAGTCTTATTTAGTAATTATACAATTTATAAGAAAATAACATAGATTAATTAAAGCTTAACAAGAGTTGGGCGGATTTGGTTATGACCCAAATTTTAGCCCATCTGACCCAATCCAAAATCAACCCAACCTGTCCATTTGACACCCCTATAAAAATATAATGGGTTCAATACTAAAATATTAAAAATTAAATCTATAAAGTTTCAACTCTGTTGAGAGAGTTTGTTGGAAAAAAAAGGAGAAGTGGGGTAGTTAATATGGCGCCGAATATTGTATGATGGGGCATAAATGCATAATTCCTTTTCTAGTTGCTACTCGCGTGATTGGTGATGGCTTCATTTGGTCCCCTCCCGAAAATGAAAAATTCTACTAAGGTCCAAATAATACGCTTTCCACCTTTCTTCCCTAACCAGATTCTTCTATTCTTCTTTATTTTGTCTCTGTTTTCTTGCCTTCTTCTGCTTTTTTTTCATCATACACCATTTCGATATTATCTTCGAGAAAATATTGATTGTATCTAATTTTTACACAAAATTCCGATTATAAGAGTTACAAAATAATGTATATACCGGATGTATATCTTACTCGTTTCCTTTTTTTTTTTTTTTTTTGGGTCAAGTTACAATTTATAACCATAATTTAAGGAGTACAAACTCAATCATGCTCCCTCTACTATGTCGTTCACAAGGAAAATGAGAATAGGCTTTATGTTATGCGGTGTCAAATGAAAACTGCTGAACAAATATAAACACCTTTAAAGAGTAGAAATTTTAATGCTTTTTGGTCTGATCTTAAGCACTAGAAACCTTGTTTTCATCCAACTTTTTCCGAAGACATTTGAGAAATTGGAGTCTCACAAAGAAAAAATGGAGTCTTTTACATACATTTTTGGGTTTTGGATTAAGCATAAAGAATTATTCTTGTAGGTTGGACTTTTGAGATAAAAGACTTTCACATGGGGATCTAAAGCAGCACAGTTTTTTGTAAATTTTTACGGGGTTAGGAAATCATTTTTTCAATTCCAAAAAAGGATTTGGTCCACACATGTTTGAGAATAAACCAACCCCGTATACCATAGAAGATTTTCCAATATATATCAAAAGGTGACTTTGAGGTTATCGTGACCCAATCATATCACAAGCATGCCTCAGGCTTTGGCATGGCCTCTTTAATTGAGTGTTTTTTACTAGAATTTCCAAATGCGTCTTTCCAAACCTGCAACTTATAATATTCGTGATGTTTTTTTTGAATATATAAACATTATATTCAAATATTCATTCATTTATGGTATAATTTGGTTCCGAATATTAGCTGGATTGACTTTTGACGACCACACAAACACAATGACATTGAATTCGGATGTAAAAGTATGTTGATCCAAACCAGTGGCGAAGCTAGGAAATTCAATATTTGAACACCCTTATGCAAGAGTGTTCAAAGTCTATTTTTTGAATCGAAAACAAGTAATATTTTACCTTATACATAGTATAATTTTCAGTTGACCGCCCTTGGGCCAACATAGCTTCGCCCCTGATACAGACACTAGATAAGTCCGTTGAATGAAAATGAGAGAGAGAGAGAGAGAGAGAGAGAGAGAGAGAGAGAGAGTTGAAAGGGAAATCGAACACAACATAGAAGCACTAGGTGATTTGAGTAGTCCAATACATGTCTAGTCGCGTGCAAGCTGGCTGTGACACCATAATTATATATAAAAATAAACGGAAAGGGAAATTCTCAAGTGCATAGATGATTAAAATCAATCAGAAGCAGTCATGGATGGTATAGGCATAGCAATCAGATGCCATAAATATATATTTCAAGAAGCAAGTGAACCCCATCAAACATAGATGTTATAGTCATCATAACTGATTACAAAGATGAAGGAAAGAATAACATGGAATCAGATTGCAATACTAGTTGTCATTTGACCTGATTACCTTTTTGAACTACTGATACAATGACAGCTACATCATCGCGCTTGCCACCAGTATACCCAACATATCCGGCTTCTTGAGCTGCATCAGCAAATGGACTTCTCCCTGAAGCAGAACTACCCACTTCTTGTACCCTTGTCGCCAAAACCTCCGCAATTTCCTGAAGAAGAAAAAAGAGACCAAATAAAGACAATTGCAATTACATACTAGAAATGTGGTTAAATTAGAGGGTAAATTTTGGAGGAGTACTCCTCTGTGGCTAAGCTGAATGTGGAAGCTTGCAGGTCAGAGAGGAGCTGGGCTATTTGCATAACCTAGGTGAGGTTAGTGCTTCTCCATGTTGTGACATAAGTGTCCAAACTCGAAGCACTCGCTACACAATTTACTAGGAACTAAGACAATCTTTTCCAGCAAAAAAGTATCTTCTCCTTATGTTTGGCTAGAGTGGGAACCCCCATATCTAGAGCTTATGGTCTTAAGTTCCAACTCAAATCCAACAATGCACTTCTTGGCCATCTAGCCAACAAAAGAAGAGGGAAGATCTGGACAGCTTTATTATAACATTATCGAAGCGGAACCCTCAAGCTCAGATATCCCTCGAACCTCTTAAATACCCTTCCTACGGCACAGGAGGAAGAACCATACCCTCTCATTCACTTACTATTGGCCAAGGAGCATAGATTCATCTTACTTTTACAAATGGAAAAAGAGACACAAGTCATGCATTCGAGCTAGAGCCTTAGCCTTTCTTCACTATGTAAATAGAGGGCCACTAACCAGCCTTATTCTATTGATTCTGGAACTGCATCCGTTATTTCTCTAGGAACAAGTTATTCCCTTTGTTTAACACCCAGAAAATAAGAAAAAAAAATAAAAACATATAAGCAAAATAGCACAAGCACCTGAGGTCTTTTGTCAGCAGCCAATGACTTTGAGACGATTGACACTATTTCTTGATCATATAAGTTGTCAAATAGCGCATCTGTTGCAGTGACAATGACGTCACCCTCATCTAACTCTATTTTGTATTCCTGAAGCAAAGAGTGCAACACATAAGAAATGGAGTAATTTCTGAATGACAAGCTTGGGCGAAAGGGGCTAAAGAAACATATCTGAGATAGATGGCCTCATTAAATATATGCACATACATACCTCCAGAAGTTGAGATGGATCATCACCTTTTTCAATTTGTATGGGCAAATTGAATTCATGAAGCATGGGTGATGACTTCCTGTAAACGCTGCCATTCCTTACTATGATAAATCCAGAGTCGCCAATATTAGCCACATGAAGATCCTGTTAACAATAAACTACATTTCAAAACAAGTTCATGTGTGAACATACGTAAATACTCGTCATGATTTTTTCAGGCGTATAAGCACATTGACGGACTGGAAGACTATTCCACCAACATGTCAGCAATCAATATCCTTTAGCAAAGGTTTCTCACTGTATAGCATTACAAACTTCCTGGTAATCTTATCTTGCTTGTAATTGCACACATATGCTAATGATATCTTTCAGATCAAATTTTCGATTTAAAAGAAAGAAACCCATTAAACTTAAATGACGCTGACTGTTACTGCAGAACAAACTGGGATTTTTCTCTTTTTTTATGACTTGTTGACGACGAAAGCTATAGATAGGAAAGAACATGATACTATAAAGAGTTCAAAGTGCGACTTTGGCTTAATTCAGTCATATGCCAATCCACTATGTAGATGCAAATATATAGGTGTGTGTGAGCTGAGGGTGCATTTTTTCGTTTCCAGGAAGGTATCATAAATAGTCAGCGTTGTGTAGCAGAAGACAGACAATTAATTTGGCAATGAATATACCTTTCCATTGAAATGAGCAATCAAAGCTGTTGAAGATCCAGGAGAATCTGTTTTTGAGACGCTCAGATTAAGGACTTGCTTCGGGTCATTTAGTATATCATTGTCGCACTGAGAAACAATGGATTCACTATTTTGCATGAGTTCTTTGGCATATACTCCTGGATCACTCCCTGAGTAACAAAAGGCACATTCTCTTAAAATCGACATATACTAAAAATGCTTCGGGAATTAATCATCATCAAGTTGGAAAATATAAACTTTTAAATTCCATGGAACCTAATTCATGAATTCCAGAATGAACCTCAAGGAATACAAGTGCCATGTATGATAGAAAACAGAGTTAGAGAGCAATTACCTTCCAAGGACCAGGAACCAACTCCATCGGCTACACCTAGCCACTTTCCACAAGTAACAAAATATGCTTCATGTCCACCTGTCAATGCCTGGTTAATTTATTTTTTTCGAATTACTTACTCATAAAATCATGATGCTTGTTGACTAGAAAAAGAAGAATAACCAATATCTTCTGACATATATCCAAAACCAATTTTAATGAATAAACATTAACTTTGTTTGAAATTTCAAATCTTTGTATATATTAAAAGCTGAACTACATTTTTATGCATCTTAATAGTAGAAATACCATAAAACTAAATGCAACCTCATGACTAAGTGGTCACTTTTAACTTCAGAAAGTGAAAATTATAAGAAAGGCATATATATCTGAAATACCTTGGATGGATATTCCAGCAAAGTAGCACCAGAAGACAGAATTAATTCAGCTCGTATAGCTTCCTTGCTGTTGAAAATGAGAGATCATTGGACATTAGATGCATTACTACTCATTCAAAGTAAACTTAAGGACATTACCTTGCTAATTTTTTATGATGTGAATTTTTTATGATGTGTTGACCCCTAAAGTATAAGATTCAAACGTATTAACAGGTACGGCATTTGTATTCAAAAGGGGGTTTGTTAGGGATTTAAAATGTGAGTTGCTCTAGAAGAGCACAACAGTATAGTACTAAAGTGGCATTGGTAAAACGTACACAGAATAACTCTAACATCACAAGTATTTAATGAGTTTAGTGACATATGCATCTAGAGAATTTAGAATATGTATACACGTTATATCCAAGAAAAATAATATCCAATATATTAGCAAGATACCTGCTGCCTATGACTTCTGAAAATCTATCCTCAACCACTTCATGACCAGATATTTCCCCGACATCACTGTTTTCTGCATTTTCTTCTTTTTCTGCTTCCACGGATAAGTTAGGTAGATTTTCTTCTGGCTGAGAAAACCATAGAATAGAATAAATAATAGCTTCAGTTTTCTGGAAGAATTAGTTCATTTTGCTCTCAAACAAAATTATAGGACAGTGATTAATGTTAAAGTAGCACAAGATGGCTTAAATCATCATTGCGTTGGGGAACTTGTATTTTGTGATACTTAAATCATCATTGCACTGGGGAAATAATAAAGTTCTCAAGAGCCTGTTCGTTAAATGCTGCATGCGAACAAACCTGTAGTAGCATTTTAATACAAGTTTACCATATCTAGTTGTGCTTGAAGATCAGTCTTATGGTAGTTAAACTCAGAAAGGAATCTCGCAAAGGAGCATATCACATCCATAACTAGAATAAATAAGAATGTAATGTATATGCTGCTTCAAAATGTGGTAATAGCCACATATTGCACAATATACAGCTTTCTATATTGAATGCTTATTACCTAATAGACAATTACTACATCAGCCAAATAATATTTGATACACATATTACTGACCATGAGTCCTAACTAATCAGTTTGGGTGGTTTCATGCGATCCAAGATAAGATTACAAAATAAAGGAAGAAGGAGCAAGCAGAGCACTATAATGCACACATAATTTACCATATCAAATCTTATGATAGGTAGATAGAACTCACCGGTAATGGACTTTCACCTTCATTGGACTCCGATATTAGGTTGTGATCAACTTCCTGATCAAGAACTGGTTCAGCCTCCTGCTTAGGAGAAAGAGGCATTACTCCACTCACATTAGCTTCATCACTATCCTTGAAAGTACCATTTTGGGAAGCCTGATCCTCAGCATCTGCAGAGAAATTAGTCAGCTCGGTTTGATCATCATTCTCCAAATTAAGGACTTGGGCACTCTGGTCTTCAGCATCCATAGACAAATGAATCTCTGGACTAATTTCTTCAACAACAGTTTCAGTATTCCCCAGATTAATTTCCTCACTAACACTCTCCGCGGGCTTTTCCATTATAGGATCAACACTTTCAGATATTTGTTCTATCTGTTGGGCAGTTTCACTATCAATGTCCACTGCGTGAACTTCAGTTGAAGCAGCACCATTTTCCATCAAGCCAATTGAATCGACACCGTGATCCTTGTCACTGTCATTCTCTATCAATTGACCTGAACCTTCTCCCTCAGATTCTTCAATTTCTTCAGCGTTTAGCGAGTCAGAATATTCAGGCACTGCTGCAGGTGAACCTACAAAAGGTGATTTTTCATCATCCACTTCTCCAAATGATTGCTTCTCACTCGATTGACCCTTCAATTCTTCCTCAACTTCCAAAGAAGGAAAGGAATTCTCTGGTGGTGGAATTGAAGCTTCACTATCATCTTTCTTTTGCAAAATCTCCTCAAATTCTTGAAATGATTCCTCAGTTGATTGACCCTTCATTTCTTCTTCAACTTCCAAAGAAGGAAAACCATTCTCTGTTGGTGGAATTGAAGTTTCACTATCATCTTGCTTTTCCAAAATCTCCTCAACAAGTCCAGCATTTTCAACATGGACTTCAGCTACAGATTGATCTTGAATTCCTACAGCTGAAATTAAACCAATTTCATATGTGGATTCTTCGACTAAATTCTCACTCAATCCAGTCTCTCTTTCCACAAAACCACTCCTTGTGTTGTTAGTTACTACTGATTCAGAGACTCCAGCATCAATAGCAACAGTCACAGCCTGACTACTGGCTTCTCTCTCTACATTCTTGACAATGACTTCTCTCTCATTATCACCATCCATAACTTTCACTACACTAAATTCCTCCTCCTCCTCCTCCTCACTATCCCTTTCCACCTCTTTAACCCCCAAAAGGGGTTCCTCCAATTCATCCTCTTTTACAAGCTTACTTGGGTCCCCGAACCGAAACAGTAGACTTCCATCCGAATGCTCTGCCACAACAAAACATCAAAACCCCACAAATTTGAAAAAAGCAATAAACCTCAAAAGTAACACAAAGAGCTTATCTTTATCAAAAAATAATGTATAAGAATAAAAGGTTAGGAAGGATTATAGGTAAATAAACATACCATGGGTGGCGATGACATCAAGATTTGGAGAAGTGGGTATGGAGCAGAAAGCAATATGAAGAGGTTTTGTTCTTCTCCTTCTTCTGACTAGAGTTGGGTTGTGAAGGGAAACAAGTCGGAATGACTTTTGAGTAGAAAAATAGGCGGCGAAGAATTGAGAACCTGTTATAGAGCGAGAGTCAAAGAACTTGCACAGAGGATCAGCCATAACTACGAGATCAAATGCTCTTACATCTAAGATTAATTTAGTTGAAGAGAGGAGTTGTTTTTTTGTGGACAGAGGCTGATGTCTTTTCTTGGGACAGATGATGATCGTTATTTTCTGTTTCTATTTTTACCCGGGAAATGCCCTTGGGCTTCCTTAGAAACTCTCAAATAGATTCTCAGTTGCTATATGGGCCGCAGACCCAAAGGAGATCTTTGCTATTGCATTGGGGAGAAATTAAAAAATAGTCAGATTTACAAGCGGTCGTTCAAAAATAGCCCAATTTCAAAAGTAATCGAAATTTAGCCACTTTTCATGTAAAGATAAATCTGAGCGAAAATACTGTTCAAAACCCGGAAATTACACCAGTATATTATGCTGGAGTTCCAGCATAAGTATACTTGAACTCCAGCATATTATACTGGAGTTCCAGGATAAGTATGCTGGAACTCCAGCATAAGTACACTAGAACTCCAGCATAATATACTGGAGTTCCAGCAAAGTATACCGGTCCAGTATAATATGCTGGAAGTTCATACACAAGTGCTCGAACTCCAGTATATTATGCTGGAACTTTCCGTCTGTTGGAGTTCCAGCATAATATGCTGGAAGTTCATACACAGGTACACCGAACTCCAGTATATTATGCTGGACCGGTCTCCGTTGCAGCAAAATAGTGGCTATTTTTCATTGACTTGGTAAACGCTGACTATTTTTGAATGACCAGTCCGAAAACTGGCTAGACCGTGCTATTTTTACATTGCATTATGCAAATTGGTAAAAATTGCACGGGGCGCCCTATTTGGTCGCCCCCATTTAACATATACCCATTTTTTTAAAAAGTTTTTTGGTACAATCATTTTCATAGAATTTACGAAGAGTATATTTTGGTGAGTATGTTTAGCTTACACACTGACAATATAAAGAATTTTTATGTTATTCAGTCACTTGTACTATATGTTATAGTAGATAATCTGTTTTAATTTCAAGATTACAAATTCCTCATTTTATGAAGGGTTACCTGCCGATTTTTTTGGTGATATACTATATGTGTATATAAGTTAAGCTCTATTTTTGGGCGGTACACATTTGATTATTATTCACCGACATTCTTTCGGAAATATGAATATTAAGTCAAATTCAGCTAACTTGGGATTGAAGTGTTGTAGGTGTTAAATATTCTTTAAAAAAAAAAAAAAGAATATACAAGTAAAAGTGAGGAGTATATAACCACATCCTTCTCTCTTAGAATTACTAGCACTTAATTGAGTTGCCCCAAGACTTTCTAGGTGGTAAGTTCATGGGTTGCATTTTTCAAGTGTCGTCATGAGTAATGTTACTATGTGTAGAGACACTACTTATGAAAACTATGGCTGTCGTTCACAAATTTAAAGTACTAGTGCTTATAGTAGTAACCTTAAGCAACTTTCACATTAGCTAAAGACCTAACTATGATGTTCAATATCTTATAATATAATATTATAAAAATAATAAACACAACTTATGAACAAAATTTGTCGCAACAAACAAGAACGAGATTATCTGTTGTCCAGGCATTTGAGAGGTTGCAGACAAAGAATCAAACTAAAGGAGAAGAAGTGTCCACGTGGATGGTACAAAAAGGGAAATAGAGATGTAACCCAACACCTCATTGGTCCGAAATCTATCCACCAGAGATCTCTGATTTCATCCATCCTAATTGGCTCCTTTCAACGTCCCCTTTTGATCTCATACTCTTATAACCAGGAATTTTACTTCTTTCTTCCAAAGTAGAAACAACCATCCACAACATTGTATTGTAGCTTACTACTGTCATTCTATTGTACGCATAAAAAATAAGCATGGCTACAACATCTGCTGCGTTGTTGAATGGCTTGAGCTCCTCTTTCTTGACTGGTGGCAAGAAAAGTCCGGCCTTGTTGGGTGCTGCAGTTGCCGCCAGAGTTGGTGGTCTTGCCACTCCCAAGAGGTTCATTGTGGTGGCTGCTGCTCCTAAGAAATCTTGGCTTCCTGTTGTTAAAGGTGGTGGCAATTTGGTTGACCCCGAGTGGCTCGATGGCTCGTAAGTTCACCTTATATCTCCGACCCTCAACCCCCATCCCCTAGAGATAAATCTAGGATTTAAAATTGGTGCGTTCAGAACATGTATATATGGTTCGAGTAGAAAGCTTGAACCCTGAATTTGCTCTGCCTTCGTCTCTGTAACCCCCTCCCCCTCCTCCTGTTTCCTTCTTTTGCAAAGGCTTAACCGTACTTGAACTTGCAGGCTCCCTGGTGACTATGGTTTTGATCCACTTGGTCTTGGAAAGGACCCTGCATTCTTGAAATGGTACAGAGAAGCAGAGCTCATTCACGGCAGATGGGCAATGGCTGCAGTATTGGGCATCTTTGTTGGTCAAGCCTGGAGTGGCATTCCGTGGTTCGAGGCTGGTGCTGACCCTGGTGCTATTGCACCTTTCTCTTTTGGCTCACTTCTTGGTACTCAGCTTCTCCTCATGGGGTGGGTTGAGAGCAAAAGGTGGGTGGACTTTTTCAACCCTGAGTCTCAGTCAGTAGAATGGGCCACTCCATGGTCCAAGACTGCCGAAAACTTTGCCAACTTCACTGGAGAACAGGGTTACCCTGGCGGCAAATTCTTCGATCCCTTGGGCTTTGCTGGTACACTTCAGGATGGTGTTTACATCCCTGACACAGAGAAGCTTGAAAGACTAAAGGTTGCTGAGATCAAGCATGCTAGACTTGCTATGTTAGCCATGTTAATTTTCTACTTTGAGGCCGGGCAAGGGAAGACACCCCTTGGAGCTCTTGGTTTGTAAGGGATTTCGTATTATTAAACATTTCATTGTAAAGAGTCACTGGATGTAGAAAGAAGAAACCAAAGCTTGGATTTGTCTCTCCAAGCTTTTCTCCTTGAGAAAATTCAAATTCTTCCCTTGAGACAGTTTATCATCTTACATAATTTATATACTTCAAGAAAACATTTAAGATTACTCTGGCCCAAGTATTACAGTATAAAAATTGTAACAATACAGAGGCTGAGATATGGTAGTAAAAATTCCAATCAAATGATTCAATAATCAAGACTTAACATCTGAAGAACCTAGTTCAAGAATGAGCATAATTTGCAGTCTCAATTGATAATTTGACCAAAATGCGGCAAAAACATTCACAACATAATTCAACCAGGAAGGTAGCATTGTCAGTGAGTTGCTGCCTTCTGGGGTTATAAGACCAAGATATCATACAGCAAGAATAAGGATTGTCATACCAATGCACGGAAGGACAACGGGACCTTTGCTCGCAGATATAGGAAATTCGCATCCATCCTGAATGTAACAAACCATTTCGTTTAGCTTTGGAAAGGACAGAATCACATAAACCAAAAGCTCATAGAACTACTCATCAGATGATCATTTTATGAGATTGCCCTAGTTTAACATTAATGGGGGTGGATGGAGGGAGAAAACTGATCAAGGTGCCAGAAAGTTGCCTAGCAATGGACTTGTAGCTGCACAGCATTACTCACTGCTTGTAGCAATCAAGAACTCACCCTCACTAACCACATCCCCTCCTACATATGCCTTTCCTTCCATCTTTGCTATTCCTAACTGTTTCTGCAGCTTGATCAGTGTCATTCTCATTTTTAATAAGGTTAAGATTTCATTGATAAGGTACCAAGATGGTACAAATTAGTACATCACTCAGACAGAAGCCAAAAAGAAACAAACTACTACATCCTTCTTCCTAATAAATCCAGAAAATCCATATACTGATCAAGATCCACTAACAGACTGCTTTTACACCAAAAGTAAAGATTATGTAAACATCTATTTTTAGTCCTAGAAATATGTTCCTTTTCAAGATCAGTGTCATTTTCATTACCAAGGTATTTCCAGCCACCAGTCCATCACTGGCTTCCTGAACCTTACTTTGTCTTTCCAGCTAAGAAGAAGTTCACTCTGGAGCCTGACCCTTCAGGTTACAATCATAACCGAGCCACCAGCTTGGGTAAGAGTAACTCGTGAAATTAAGGACTTCACCTATCTGTTCGGTAACGACATGAAGCAACACGCCACATGAGAAAAGTTTAGAACTATCATCAGTTATATTAGCATTGGCCTGAAAATCTGAAGTTGGTAATAAGAAACCAAATTTATCCAATTACTTCGATTTTAAAAAGAGGAACTCTAAACATGCCACACTCAATAAGGCAAGACCGTTGAACCAACAGAAATGCACATTCAGTATCAGTCATGGAATGAAGAAACAAGTCATATACATAATGATAGCTCAGGGAAATGCCCAAGAAAGAAGTTATTATTGATAGTCATATTCATTATAGCCACAGGTGAGAGGTGACACTCCCGGATTCTATTCAATCACTCTACCCACTAGAACAAACAGGTAAACTGAAAATAATGCAGCCCTCATCAGTAAATCAATCACATTGCTGAAACAAATGAATCAACCAACTATGCCTTATGTCAATCTTTCCTTTTTAGTCTTGAAATATGTAGTTAGAAGAAAAAATCAACTACTATATATGTCCTGCATATCCATTCCACTCTATTCGAGTCCATTTCATTCCAACATTAACTAATTTGTCATTTCAAGTCAATAATGAAACAAATTAAGCACATTTTTACAAACAGATAACAAATGCAAACCGATGGGGCAAAATCTCGGAATCTGATTACTTCCATCCCACTAGGAAATGTTGGGTACCCTAATAAGCAAATCAAAATTCCAAACATTTGAAGGAGCTAAAGAGCATGCGTATGAAGGGGAAAAAAAGCAAATAAATGGATTAATACATTACTCAATTCAATTGGGGTTTCAGTTTTTGGCATAATATTCTTCCACTGGGCAAAGGAAGGGAGGCATTCTCAAAGCCCTTTTGATAACTGAGAGTGGAGAAGATAGATGTGACACAGCCATAGAAGCCATTGGTGAAGGTGAATTGAGAGATTTGTGACTTGTAAAAGGATTTGTTTAAAGAAAAAAGGTATTTGGAGAAGGAGAAGAATCGAGGTCAACAGAAACAACGTCGACCGTTCAAGTGGGAGTTGCGACTTGAAGAGAAGTATGGTGTGACACTTGAATAACTGAACAAGTTGAACAAGGAATATATTTGGTGGACAGTTTTTTATTTTATTTTAAATTTGAACATTTTTTAAGCTAGACTAGATATCTTGAGATTAAGGCACAGTTATTCTGGCTACTTGTTACACATTGTTACACAGATAGCGATGGCAATGGGACGGTGCGGGTGCGAGACGGGTTTGATCTCCGGTCCATGGGAATTTGAGGCATAACTATTCGCTTCCCTCCGAAGATCCTCAGAGGAGGAACAACGTTCCCTCTCAGTCTCTACGGGGTGCCATCTGCTATCCCAGCCGGTTGAACTTGCTAATTACCTGAAGCCAAAGGCTTCAGATAAAGATAAGAATAAAATACATTCTCTCTCGGGGGAGTCTATTATAAACAATGCCATGTACAATGTAGCAGCGGTACAATGTTTGTTCCCTCTACTGTTTCTTCTAGCTTTGCTATGACATAATTTTTTATTCAAACTTTTGCTTTGAGGCTAACTTTCTTACTTCCAAGGGCCATCAAAAGTTGATCCTTGATAAAGAGAAACTCACATCCGAGCGGGATCAACTGTTGGCCGAGCGGGATCAAATTGATGCTCGCCTCCCGGTATTAGAAGCACAAGCTACCGAGACCATTGAGTTGGAGGCTCGGTTCCAGCAGAGCGAGCAAGAGGTGGTGACCCTCAGCCAAGAGGCCGCCCTGTTAAGTGTAAAATTTCAAGAGGCCAAGGCAAAGTGGTCCAAGGTCCAAAATGTTGTTATTGTTGCTGCCAATCGCAAGGCTACCTCTACTGAAAGACTAAATAATTTGGAGGCAGTCTTGAACTCCAAAGCTGAAGGAGCTACTGCTGCTGAGGAGAAACATGTCCGGATGGAAGAGAAGTATAGGAAGGTCATGGAGCACAATAAAGTTTATAAATCCACTATTCGTGACCTTGACGTCAGCCTTCAGGCCGCTAGATCCGAGCGAAATAACCTTTCGACCGAGGTGGACCAGCTTAAGAAAGATCTTCAGTGCCGAACGACTTCCCTCATTGTTGAAAAAACATATTCCATGTATAGCATGAGGAGAAAAACCTTGGAAGAGGCCAAAACGGGCATCATTGGCTTTGATGCCAAAATCGCCAAGGCCCGTGAGCTGGAGTCAACTACCCGAAGGGGTCTCTTAGTCCAACCTGATGCGACTGACTCTTCTGGTTCAGGTTCTGAGTGCTCGGGAACTAAGGAAGAACTTGAAGGGGATGACGATGAAGGTCAAGATCCCGAACCAGCAGCAGATCCACCTAGTTCTCTTAGAGGCGCAAATGCTTCTCTTCCTCCGGGTTCTGGGGATGCAACAGTTTAGCTTTTTTTCTTTCTTTCTTTTTTATTTTCACTTCATACTTTGTACTTGTGCTGGTTGGTACGTTTGTCATATAAAAGTGCTTTTTCGTTTGAGTATTGCTCAAAATTTTCTCTTTGCATTGAGTTATGCAAGGTTTCGGGTGTATTTTTTCCCCGATAGTATTGGATCCGGGGCATGATTTTTTCCGAAATCAACGCTTTACTATGAGGGTTTCATAAGAGAGGGTCATCATATGTTTACGATGCTCTTGAAGAGGATGTCTCTTATTCATACTGGCACTAGATAAAATTAACTCATCATTCGGACAAGAAACAAGATAAAAATAAAAGAACTTTACTTTTGGTAATAAATGTGAATATTACCATAACAACCAACTGCTTTAGATCCTAAGAGCATCCAGTGTACTAGCACTTCTAGTACATCCAGACCTCAAACATCAAAAAAACCTTTCTAAGTACAAACTTCCATGACTGTTGAATTAATAACTACATGATCCTAATTACATACTACTTCCTAATTACATAATCTTTGTATCATCAGTGAACACTGCTTTGCTCTTTTGGACTCTGCATACATGCCTAGTCTGTCCACCATCTCCTTTTTAATTTGTCCAACACAAAATTCCAGATTCAAGGTAATTTGTCTGAAGATCCTCCAGTTCCTTGCTTGCCAAGTGTGGTATACAATTGCTCCTATGATTGCTGTTGCAACCTCCTTCTTCATTTGCTTCCAATGCCTTCTTTTGATCCATTATAGCATCTCCGGTATTGCCATGTTTGGTAGCCTTATTGCTGCCCAGCTTGTTAATGCATCTCTCATGTTTTTAAACCAACTGCAATCCCCAAACAAATGCTGTTGTGTTTCAATTACTCCTGATCACATAGGCAACATTCAGCATTACCTGTTATAGGGATGTTCAACTGTACTAATCTGCTTTTTTGTTTGCATTTTTTGTTGGTATGCCAGCCACAGGACAAACCTGTGTCTTGGCAGTAATGTCCTACTCCATACCAGCTCCATTTCCCTGCATCTTGGCAAATGTCCTAGCATTGCATTGTAGCTGCTAGATACTGAATACTGCCCATTGCTAGTCAGCCTATATGTACTTCCATGATACCATTGTGCCATGTTTTGTTTTAAGCTATTCAACTTCTTCCAGTACCAACTGCAGTCAGATGGTGGCCTGTGCTCCCATATGCTTCTGCATGATTTCATATACACCCCATGTACCCATCTCACCCATAACACTTCTTTATTTGTCACTAATTGCCATAGTAGTTTCCCAACTGATGCTATATTCCAGTTTTTACACCCCTTTATATTCAATCCACCATATTTCTTTAGCCCGCACAGAACTTCCCATGATACCAATGCCATCTTCCTGTGTCCTTCTGTGGTGCCCCATAGATACTCCCTACACTTCCTATCAATTGCTTTTATAACACTTTGAGGAAGTATAAAGACAACCCCCCAAAAGTTATACATTGCAAATAGTACTGAATTAATCACTTGCAGTCTACCTGCATATGATAGAAGTTTAGCATAGCCTGCTTGGATGTTTGTAGTGATCTTCTCTACTAACTGGTGACATTCTACCTTGCTCCATTTCTTTGATGTTAGTGGTAGTCCCAGGTATCTCATTGGTAGTGTGCCCATTGAGAATCCTGTAGCACTCACTATAGCCTGTTTACTTGCTTCATCCATTCCTGCTAAATATATGTTTGACTTCTCCATATTTGCTACCAACCCTGACACTGCACTGAAATGATTCACCACTTCCAACATCCTATGGATAGATTGACTATTACCTTTACAAAATAACATCAGTTCATCTGCAAATATCAAGTGTGTCAGTTTGGTATTTTTACACATGGGATGAAATTGGAAGTCTGGCAATTCACTCATTTTGTTCAACCCTCTTGTTAGGTACTCCATGACAAGTACAAATAGTAGTGGAGACATAGGATCTCCCTGCCTCAATCCCCTTTTTCCTTCAAAGTAACCATATCCTGCACCATTCACCTTGATAGTGAAAGTAGTTTTTGTAACACATATCATTATCAATTGGATGAATGGCATTGGAAAACCATAGCCTCTGAGTACTTCTTCCAAAAATTCCCATCTCACCATATCATAGGCCTTCTTTAGATCAATCTTTATCAAGCACCTGGGGGTTGTCTTCCTGTTGTAGTGTCTTAGAAGATCATGGCATATCAGGACATTGTGAATAAGTGATCTTCCTTCAATGAATGCTGCTTGATTATCAGCTACAATCTTTGGAATAACTTTCCTCAATCTAGTACAGATGATCTTGGAAATACATTTGTAAATGACATTACAGCAAGCAATAGGTCTAAATTGACTTGCCTGCAAGGGATTCTTCACTTTTGGTATAAGTGCTATGCTGGTTGAGTTGATCTGAGTGAGTAGTTCTCCATTCTCAAAAAATTCCAGCACTGCCTTGATCACATCCTCTCCAATTATTGTCCAGGCTGCTTTATAAAAACCACTCCCATACCCATCTGGTCCAGGGCTTTTAGTATCATTTATGCTGAACATTGCTTTTTTCACTTCTGGCCCTGTGTAAGGCCTTAAGAGTTGTAGTTGTTGAGTGATTGATAGCACTTTCCCATTTTTCAAAAACCCCTGAATAGCATGATCCCTGAACCTTCCTTTTGTCCCTAGTAATTCCTGATAATAGTCTACAAAAATTCCTGCTATATCTTCCTGCTCAGTTTTTATATCTCCAGCATTATCAGTTAGTTGAATGATTGCTTCTTGCAACCTCCTGTGCTTTATCACTGAAAAGAAGTACCTATTATTATCATCTCCCAGCTTGATCCAAGTAGCCTTGCTCCTTTGTTGAAGATATACCTCTGCCAAGTATGATGATCTTTTGAATTTTTGATACTTCTGCTTTTCTTCTAGCTGTAACCCTGCATCCATTGGATTTTTATGAAGTTCTGCTTGAGCTGCAGCCAAAGCCATTCTATCTGCATCATCTTCCTCTATAATGTTGTTAAAATACCTCTTATTCAGCATCTTCAAATCCTTCTTCATCATTTTTAACTTTCTGACCACTTGAAACATACTGCATCCTTCAACTTCTTTCCTCCATCCTTCCTTAGCTATATCTATAAATTTTGGATGTGATGCCCAAACATTACAGAATTTAAAAGCAGCTTTTGCCCTCCTAGGTGAGTTAGCTAGTGATAGCTTTAGTGGGCAATGATCACTCATCCCTTCCTCCAAATAGCAAGCCATATATACTTGCATTATATTGAGCCATGCTGTGTTAATGAAAGCCCAATCTATTTTTGATAGGATCCTGCTATCTCCATGTCTATCATTCCATGTATACCTGCTCCCACTAGTTGGCATTTCTGTTAGTTCACAATGGTCTATGCACTGCTGGAAGTCTATTATTTCAGCCAAGCTTACAGGATTCCCCCCCCCCCCTCCCCCACTCTGTCATCAGTATGCAACACAGAATTGAAATCTCCCATCACTATCCATGGGCCCCCCACATTCTTACTCACATTGTCTAGGTAATTCCACAAATTCCTTCTTTCTTCTTTTGTGTTGAAAGCATATACTATAGTCATCATAAAGCCAATCTGCAGCCTTTTATGACTGATCATACATGT